CTGGTTCTTATTCCGATATTTCGATAAAAAATTTAAAATGAGGAAAGATCACAATTCCGAAATTCTGGACAATTGCGTTCACGTATGCACCTCTTCCGGAGAAAGTGTGGAGAATCTCCGGAGTTCACTGTCTGAAAGCAGCTTATGTGTGATCTCGCTTCACCCCAAAACTATCCCTGAGGCCAATGCTTTAAATAAGTCTTATTAGTCATAAATTGTTTGGTTAAATAGGGGTAAGAAGCAAACAAAGGGAAGTAAAACAAAGTGAGTCAATAAGTGAGAGCAAGGAGCGGTAGAGGAAACCTCCCAGGGAGGAGGAGAGAAGGCCAGTCAATATGGTGGGACATTACATAATTCTCTCACTGTATTGATTTATTGCCTTGCTGATTTGGCCTCTAGCCAGCATGCAATAGCATTTGTAATATTTGAGTTGGAGCGCAGACAGAGAAGGAGGGAAAGAGAGACTTAGATGAGGGCAGATAGATGTGACAGATAGAGGAGACAGTGAAAAAGAGAGAAAAAGAGGTTGAAACGCAGAGAGGGTGAATAATAGCTGGGAATTTTGGGATGCAGCCAAAGTGACAGATAAAGAGAGAAGAGAGAGAGAAAGCAGCAATGGATAAAGAAAAGAGAGCGAGGGAAACAAAGCATTAAAGAGAGCGTTTAATTGTGCGAGCAGGGCAGAGAAGATAGTGACAGATCGAGGGAACGCAGGAGACAAAGAATGTGTGTCAGTGAGTGCACTGCAGGTTATACTAGTTGCTGTAATCTGTGCTGTTATGTAAGAGCCAGAGGCACTGGGCAGAACAGCCCAACACAACAGATCTGCAGGAAAGACTGGGTTTACTGCAAACACAGTGCAAACTCTTCAAACACGACAGTAGGAACAGAAAGTGCCTGTGGCAGCATCGATATCAACTAAAGCAGCATTCACAGGCTGCTCTGAGAGTAACATCCACACTCGCTGGCTAAATCTAATAATATATATCTTTTCTCAGGTTTGGCTCTCCATCATCCACACACTCAAAAACTGGAGGGTGCAGCTTCAACCAAAAAGTGCTTGTGGGACGGTCAAACTAACAACTGAAACCATGTGGATGGCATAACTGAGGTGGTGGTGTTCTACACTTTGAACGCTGTCAAATATAGAAAGTGTGCAACGCTCTGCCCATTTGATCTCCTCGCCATTCTTGCCTCTCTCTTTGACAGCAGGCTGTCCACCCTGTCTGTGTGTGACATTCTGCCCTCAGTGTGTTGGGACAACATGTCGTATGAAGGGACCTTTAGTGAGGAGACAACACAACCACTGATTATGGGCGTTTTCACAGCCCAAAGGACAAACCAAGGATCATGTTTTTGTTACGTTGTTCACATTTGATTCGGTTAGTTTTGGTCTCACATTGTAATTTAGCTTCCTGCAATTGGTCCCAAAGTCTGAACTAACCAAAAAAAACAGTTTGATGACTCTTTCGGCCAGACAAAACTTGTTTGTCCGAGGAACCTTTCACATCTGTTAATTTGGTTTAAACTAAACTGAGAAGTCCGGAGGTCTGAACCAAACAAGGTAGGTGTGAAATCAATCTAAATCAATGTAGTGGCTCAAAGTGGCAATCAAAGTACGACAAAGAAAGAGATTTAGCAGTTTTCCTATTGTGTGGAATGAATAACCTAAGAAACGTGCATGGATGAATGTCACTGTCATGTTAACAGCATGTTCAAGTTACAGTCAAACTTATGTGAATTGACACGCAATGTGTTCACTTATATTCCTGTTCTTCATGACTCACTTCATACGGAGGAGCATCAGGGCCTCTCCTTTCTCCTCCTCATCCTCCATCCCTGCTTTTCCCCCCTGGCATTTTCTTCCTTGTTGTGACATCTTTCTTTCACTTCCTCACTCTCCTTTTTTGGATGAACTACAGATGGATGAGGGGAAGGAAGTGGAGATAAAGGCAGAAAACTAGATTAATGGGCTGAATGGAGCGCGGCGAGGAACACTGAAAAGATGGGGGAAAGAGAAAGTGAGAAGGAGGCTGAGCTAGAACAGGCTTTCCTTGTGCTACCGTGAATAATTTACTTTATTCCCCACTCACTCACTCTCTCTCTCTTTTAAAAGATATATTCAACTGACGGTGTGTGTGTGTGTGTGTGTGTGTGTGTGTGTGTGTGTGTGTGAGCTGATTAATTGTCAATTAATGTTTAACGAGGTACAGCTGTGTTCAATTAACACTGGTTTAGGCACTGTCTCTTCTAACACCCCCCCCCTCCCTCTTTCTCTCCCATCAAATATCATCCCCTCTCTCCTTCCCCCTCTGCTGTTGGTAGAAAGACAGGAGAGAGATAAACCGAGGTTGATGCACTGAAATTAAAAAGCTGATTGGAGACAGCACTGTGTGATCATCTACAGGAACATCTGGGCTGTTGTGCTGCACCATTTCTTGGCCTAGGGCACTAACTTCCTCAAGTCTCTGCTGGTTGTCTGAAAAACTCACAATGATGACAAGACTTTACGATGTCAGTTCCCCTGTTTTCAGGCTTAATGCTAAGCTAAGCAGCTGACTGGTTGCCTACGGCCTTATATTTCACTGATAAATAAAAGAGCGGTATCCATCCTCTTATCTATAGCCAAGAAAGTAAATAAAGCGGTTTTCAACCATGGAAATGGGGTGTGTCCAGAAAATTTGGTCTGAATATCTTTGGAGATTGCTCTTCACATGCAAAGAGCACAGTGGGAGATGGGCTTAGTCAGACAAGTTTAATTAAAATGGGAAAATGTCCGCAACCTTCAGGTGAGGGGTTGAGTCTGTATGAACCTCTTTTTAATCCTGTGATATTTTTCTGTTTTGCCCCTGTCGTGTGGTAAAAACGTCTTTAATACGCCCACTCGCCGTAAATTTTAGAGACATTTTTCTGCTACTTTCTCACATTGACTCACTCAGACATGTTACTCGGTGGCAGATAGGAAAATGCCCCTGAAATGTCCAGAAATTACTCTGACATTTGCGTTCTCACCTCTGGAGAATTTCAGGAAAATGTCCGAATCAAAGTCTGTCTCAAGCTTAAGTGTTTTTCCTAAAATGTCAATTACGGGGATTGTTTTTGGTAAATGCACTTTTAAATATCACCTCTAAAATCTTAACAGGTTCTCAAAGTGCTTTACAATAAAGGTCACGTGCAAACATTCACACACAAATTCATACGGCACTTCTAATGCTTCTCCTCCACATCCCATTCACACACTGAGGGAACAGCAGTCAGGGGCAATTTAGGGTTTAGTGTCTTGCCCAGGGACACTTTGAAATGCAGACTGGAGGACTTACATTAGTTTCCTGGAGACTTACTCTAACTGTAACCACAACTACTTCTTGCCAAACCATGACCCTTATCCTGATCTTGACATAAAGCTAACCTTAGCCTTAGCCTAAACTAACTGTAAAACTTGTATTCACCAAAAAGTTTAATGATTTACAGTATTGGGATTGCTATTGATAATCAGAAAATCTTAATCACTAATCATTATAACATTTTTATTCTGAAAGGTAAACTGGGTAATTTCTATTCAGCTATTTATTGATAGATTAAGTCATTAACAATTTGTAAAACGTGCAACTGTATGAAAAGTTCATAACAAATTTTTGTGGGTTTTTTCTGTACTGTTTGCTTGTTTCTACAAAATGTCAAGGTGCTGAAGTTCTTAAATGTCAAACTGTTGTCTTTCCTGTGTCATTTGAAGTTGCCTTGACAGAACACTCCCCGTAGTAGATTTAAAAATGTAACACCACACGACACAAATTTCATCACACAAACAGAGTGTATGCATATTGAGTGATGAGCGATGGATCCAGCACAGACTGCTGGTGAACTCACTGGCACTGAGACATTTGAATTCTCCACCATGCTTCTATTTCTTCCAACTCCCTGTGCAAAGACCCACGGGGCTCACAAGTTTGATGCCTTCTTTTCCTCCTCCCTCTCATCCTCCTTTTTCTTTACACCACCTTATCTCTTCTTCCCTCTGTTCATCTGATTCATCATCTGCCTGCAGCCTCTCGCTCCCACCCCCCTCTGTGTGTGTGTCTCTGTCCAGGAATAGGAAACATCACTGGTTTCAGTTCAGATCTGTTGAATTGTCTATGGGAACAAGATTGTAGAACCTGTCTGACCTGACTAGTTCATGGCTTGGCACACAAAAAACACACGTACACACACAGTGATCTGTCATATGTAAATATGAGAAAGTGGTGGAGGTGAGGAGACAGAGAGGAACAAGGGACGCAAAGTACTGCATCTGTCTGGTGAAGCGAAAATGTGTGTGTGTGTGTGTGCATCCATTTGTGACTGCCATTTTACATGTACTGTATGTATTTGTCTGTCTGCCCCTTTTTCCTGACTTTCATTACAGTGTGATACCTCCACCCATCTGTTCACAAAGGAGAGTGAGGGAAATGAATGGAGGAGAGACTGAAGCATGAAGCGCTGCCTATCACTCTGCTCATCTGCTCCTCCTCTTTATCTAGTCTCCCTCTTTGTCCTCTACCTCCCTGCCCGTCTCCCTCTCTCTCCTCCTCTGCTTCCTTATCGTGGTCTCCTCCTCTTCCTCCTGTCAGTCTGTCTCCGGTCTCCTCCTCTCCCCCTTTCATCTTCAGATACATGCAGAATGGAACTCAGCTTCCTCGAAAAACACAGCAGGTGTGCAGTGTGTCTAATTGTACAGAAGTGTGTGTGCATGCGAATGTGAGTGTGTATGTAAAATGTGCTTTAAAGTCCAGCGCATGAGAGCTTTTTAGTGCCTGTGTATGTAGAAGTATGTGTGTGTTAGCTGTGTTTGTGTGTGAATGTGTGTGTTTGAGATATCTTGTTTCCTCAGGGGAATCTAGGCCCATTTCCACTGTCTGCTGTAGCCAACCAACTCAGCAGTGCATCGATAATCTATTAGGCTAGAAACAGACAAACACACACTCACACATGCACGCGCACACACACACACTTTTTCTTCTTACCTGCCACTACTGTGCACACTCAGGATTTGTACTGGCTGTACTGGTCGGGCCAAATATCGTCTGCACCTGAAAAAAAGGATACCACAGATATAAGAGATGATAAACACATACAAAAGAACATTATCCACAGCCATATAGCCATATAGGGTAGATGTGAGAACCCAACTGACTCACTAATGTATGAAACTACACATATTATGCAATTTGCACAACTATATCATTAATTGAGTCAATTTGTTATCCCACAGCTCAAAACCTCAAAAACTGATATTGGGCGGAATTTGTTAAGGCCAGACTCAAAACAAAGCCAGAGTATAAATCAACAACAAAGACGAGAGGATAACATAGAAGGATATATGGGAAGACATTTTAAATATACACAAAATCTGATGTAAATCTCCCTGCACATATGAAACATGCATGCATGCAACAAACAAGCGCACACACACTGGGACAAATATTGACAGACACGCAAAAATAACACACTGCCAGACAAAACACATAAACAAGATACCAACATGATGTAAGAAGACGCAATATCAGACATCACCATACTTAAAGCTAAAGCCTGTTTATCAACCACCTAAATAGGACAGGAGGAGCTAAGCCCCAAAGATGCAGCTTGTTTACAATAACACAGCCTTACATGGATAATGTAACAGTATCTTACACCATCCTGCTACAAACCTGTATTTATCATACAGGTTGGCTGCTTTTTGTGGAATATGAACAAGGTCAATGGGATTATGAGAATGTTGAAGATACAACAGACAAAAATTCATTGCTAAGGAAAGTACAGAGGGATGAATTTTACTACAATATGTAGTGAGTTATTTCATTTAATTAGAACAGTAAATAAGAATTTTACTTGTCAATTAACCTGTTATTTCTGTTGTCAACCAATTAATTGTTTAGTATATTGTAACAAAGCACTAAATACTGACAGTCCGGCTCTAAATTGATATCTGTTAGCTATAAGAGCTTAATTCATTACTTCATTATCATATTGGAACTGACGCAGATGAGATGAGATTGGCTCCTGAGTTAACATGTGAAGTTAACAATTCATTTCAAAAGCACTTCTAATTGGTGAAACTTGATCAAATAACTGATACCTATACTATGTTATATTATATTAATTTGAAGTCTATGAGCACATCAGGAATTCAAACATTCAAACCAATTGTGTGTCATGTCTAATTAGTTTGAACTTGATTTTTTGGACATCCCTACTTCACGATAGTGAAAGTTTAGGACTAATTGTTCATCAGATTTTTGGGTTCAACTGGCTGACACACTGGCATCAGGGTGCACTTTATTATTACTGTATGCTTAATCTGTAATTGCTTTTTAGAAGAAAGGGTGAGAAAAATCCTGAATATTCCATCTCTGTGTGGGAGTTCACAACTGCAGACAGTCTTAATGTTGACAATCGTTGTATATGGTCTCACTCACACACACGTAAAATAATCCAATTTAGAACGTTGTTGCATTGTTTAGTCAATTAAAGTAAAATCTGTAATTCTGTCACAAATTCAAACCTTAGAGCGCAAAACCCAAGCAATCATTTCAGGTAAACCCTAAAATATTCCATCATCCACCATTTTTTTCTTTGGATAATCCCTGGATTCCTGCCTTTTGGAATTCCTCCACAGATTATCCCTTTGCCTAAACCACTCCAGGGCCAAGGAGAGGGGGAGGAAAACAAGGAAGGGGGAGGAGGAGAGTCTTATATTAAGACTCCAGGAGTCTGTGAATCTTGCTGGGCTTGCAGTTCCCCCTGCGGACATGTTTTGTGCACGTCGAGGAATGCACTCACTCTATTTCTCTGTTGTAACCCCCTCCTCCCATCCCCTGTCTCCCTCCGTTCTTTCTTCTCTTTTTAGGGAATAGAGGTATGTAGGTAGACACAGACAGCTGAGCTGACTCGCAGCAGCTACCATGATCTGCTTGACAACAGCCTGAGGGCCCACACAAGGGCACACATACAGACTCACATGCAAACAGTCACAACAGAGAGAGAGAGAGACAGAGAAAAGAGAGTTTAAAGAGGGGCCCTGGGATGGAGCCTTGAGGCACTCCAACCTGGTGACACAGCAGCAGCTTCCCTCTGGTCCCCTTGCCAGTAATCCCAGCTAACCATTAGTTGGAGGCTGCTCCATTCCTGTTTGCTTGCTCTCTTTTCTTTGGGAAAAAACAATGACCAGACCCTCGCTCTCTAATTTACAGGGGAGTTGGCTCATTCCTCTGAATGGAATGTACAGTGGGAGTAGCTTGTATTTCATGACGTGGTGGACAGATCAGTGATCGAGGGGGGTGGGGTGGTCATGCGGACAGAGTGGGGCTTCACTGAGGGGAGGGTGAGTGAGTTTAGCTATTTTAAGAAAACTTGCGGTCTGTTTCTGTGGTCAAGGAATGAAACACTAGTAGGGATATATGTGGACTTTACACATGCATCCACACGATACAGTGCAACCTTGCAAAGAGGCATTTCGATCATACAGCAACCAAACCTAAAGTAAAACCTTTAGTAGAGCTGCAGTCTCATCCAATGCACACAAAGAAATACATAATCAAACAATATGAAATGTAAACAGAGGACAAGTTAACACAAAAAGAAAAACACAGAACGGACAGGACAAATATTGAAATGTTATCTACACAAGGTACAGCCAATAACACGCTTTACATTGTGAGAACAAATCATAGAAGCTCTTGAGGCCCAGTGAAATGCACATTAAAGCAAATGGCAACAGCCACACAATCACTCTGTCTCCAGACCACCACCCACTCAATCCCACTGTCACCTTACTAAACCTGCAGTACAATGCAATAACTGCGAGGGAGAACACGCAGCAAGAAATACAATATGGAGAGGAAGAAGACAAGCAATGGAACATCAGCTGGTCTCAGTGAGCCAGTGCAAAATCTGAAATGAAAGGGAATGAAAGCGAGTTGGAAGAAAGAGGGGAATATAGAGAACATATGGCATATGAAGACCTACTTTCCTTCTCCGACGCTCATTTCCTCTGTTACCCCTCATCTCACACACCTGGGACCATTACTCCTCATGGAATCAACACCCAACTAAAACTCTACTTTCTTTAATTAGTTCTCTCTGGCTTCCTCCTCTCTCCCTGCTCCATCCATATGTTCACATCTCTGTCGCCTTTTTTTCTCTTTTCTCACCACTCTACTCAGTCTCTTTGTTCACTGTCGTGAAAATGTCCCTTCCCATTCTCGGTCTCTTGTCTTTGCACCTTTTCCTGTTCAACCTCTCTTTCGAAATCCCTTTTTGACAAGACATCACAAGATTAGTGTAAAGATACAAATGTATAGCTCTTGTACTCCTGCATCTAATGGGCATGTTTGTGTGGGTCTAGTATTGAGGTTGCTTGGGAAACAGGATCGTGGGATTTGCTATTTCAACATTGTACTGCTTATCTGGTCAATGACAAAAATATGGGAGCGACAGCACACTGCCAACAAAGTGGGTCTGTGGGTCCGTGCATGATAGGAAGAGAGAGCGAGACAAGACACACATTAGCTTTAGCAACAAGTAGAGATAATCCAAAACCGATGCCAGCATCAGAAAAGCTTCTGATACTTCTGAAAATGCCAGGCAGTACATAAATCTGTGTCCTGATCAGAAAAAAGGATAAGTGATTTCCTGCAGTTTAGGACTGCAAACTTTGAAAACTGAATTCACACAAAACTAACATTACAAACCACATGATACCTTCATTACAAGTGAACACCTCACCTTAAGACTGCCTAATTTGTTTGAACAAATTGTATTTCTATGCATAAGAAATGGCAATTGGGTAATTTGAGTGTCTTGGTGGATATGAGGGTATGAATTTCTTCTATTGTACATATAACCTTATTTGTGTAATAGCTAGATTATGGGGTGACATTTACACAAAAATAAAAGCTTGAGTTGGACATGTAAAATGGCCAGCACATCTGGTGGAGAAACGTGTATGTCTGAAAGTGGCTCTGACTTGTCTGTCTGCTCGTCTTTCATGTGTGCAACCCTGACCTCAGAAGGGACAAGTCATTATATTTGCAGTGTGTCTGAGAGAGACATGGCCAGGGCATGAAGGAATTTATTGCTTACTTAAACCAGGGTGACCTTAAACCTGTAAGCCCACATCAAAGTTGTCTGCATGCTATGTACTACATGTAGTAACTTTCTCTTTAAATGGGGAAACAGAAATGTACTTTTATGAACACCATGTGTAAGTTCAAAGAGAGTTGAAGAAAATGAACATTTCGGTTGAAAGTATATAAAGGAGGAAACAAATTTGAATGAAAACACAAACAAAAAATGCAGATAAATGTAAAAAAAACAACTTTGGTAAGTCAAAGTAAATATCTCTACATATCATTATACCATCTTTTGACCTATTATTCCACATAAGGCCACAGTTCACTTGAGTTCATGACAGTCATGAGTTAATCATTTCACTAAGAGCTGTGGTGCTTTCATGGCCCAGGTCTGTGAGAGTAAAACAGTGCAGGCAAAAAACGAGAGGGGGAAAAAGAAAAAACAAAACATGACCAGTCCATGACCATCACAGGTAAACTGATGACACAAGTCGACTTAGACATGATCAAAGCAAAAAAAAGAGCAACTCTGTAGATTAAATATTATGTGTAGTTGTATATTGTGTAAAGTTACAGAAAGTGTAATTATAATGTAACGCAAATTTAGAATCTACAAAGAAACAAATGTTAAATTAAATAAAGAGTTTGTTTCGGAAAATTTCAGGGCAGCACCCAAATTTGCCTTTCAGTTAGTTTTGTCACATGGTGCATCATGGCGTATCATGTGACTGAATGAATATACAGTGGGTGATGTTGTTCTGCGAATGAGGTCTTTTGTTGTACTAATTAGAGGATGAAGAAGGAAAAAAGCCCACAACTGTGTTCAATATGCTGCAGCATGTGTTGTATGAGATTTAAAATGTTTGTGTTGGAGAAAAAAAAAAGGATGTTTGACTCTTAACTGCTTACATGTACTTTTGTCACTGTGTATTTGTAAACTTCTCCTCCCCCCACGG